TTTCATGCTAGTGAAGATTGGTTCTGTTGATCAGTATATATTCTGTAGTGACTGGAGTCTGTGTCTGACTATGCTACCTGTGGTGTTATTGAGGTTGATTCTGGTTATTCAGCTATTTAGATGTAATAGTACTTGTCTGTTCTACAGATGCATTAAGTTATATTCCTAATTGTTATATAGCATACTGTTTGGAACTGTATTTGCAAGACCTAGTTTATGTTTGTATATTGTGGCTATTCTGCTTATTAAATAGTTATGGATTTCTCTGGATAAGACTATATCATTGCATAGATACTCTATACCTGGCATGAAGACATGGTTGATAATATATTGCATCTGTTTGTCCATCACTTTTTTCATCCCTAGTAGGGTTTTAGCTCTATTTATCTTTTGGTCTATAAGATTTCTTTGATATTTTTTCCATCAAGAGTTGTCATATTATATCCCTAAGTTTCTCACAGGTGTGTCTAGTTTGCAGCCCTCTACTATGAGTTTTTTCATTTTGACCCCTTGTTTATAGTCTATATCTTTTTCATTAATGATTAAAAGTTGTAATTTAGATGGATTCACTTGGATATTATTGATGTGATAAAATTGTTGTGCAGTATCTATGCCTTGTTGTAGGTCTTTCTGATTGCTGGTGATCCACATTGTATTATTTATATAGGCACTAATAACAATATTAGTAGTTCTGCAGTTCCATCCCCTTTTTAGGTTTTCATACTGTTTTGAACTTATTGTATATCTCTTGTATATTTTTATGATTATGGTCAAAAGGGGATCATAAAAGATTCACTATAAGAGTGATGAGATTGTATCTTCTTGATCAATACTATCCTATATATTGTATTCCTCTATTGGACCATAGCATTATTGTGAGCTAAACTGACGAGTCCATCACTGAACCGTAGCACCTTGTATAACCCAGTCATCTCATGAATACTCACAAAGAAGAGAACGCCTCCTATAAAAAACACTTAGGGAAGGCAGAGGCATGGTGATTGACTTGGCCAAAGGTAAGTGTCTCTTTATTGCATTCTGTTTCTTTGATATCTCATTAATTCTTATCTCTATTCTCAAGGAGTGCTGTTTTCCTAACACATTCAGCTCTGCATTTTTAGCATACATTGCTAAGCTATTTATACTTTTCTAACTAACAATGGGCTATCAACTTTATAATCAGCTATACTAACCCTAAGCTTTTCTAAACTTTCCATACTTTTTCAGATACACTTAGTTCCCTTATCAGTACCCAAGTCTTATTTATAGTTTCTTACCTTGCAACACTCAATCTTTCATGCCAGACTTTTAGGTTTTTGGATTCTAGACCATTACATATAAATCGCGTCACACACAGGACCCATAACAGCATATAATTATAAAGTTTTGTCTAGTATATAATATGTTGATTAGAATTCAGATTATTTGATCTGGGATCTTTATTCTTTTGAGAACTAGAATCAACATCTTGATGTTGACCAAGTCATATGTCTTGAACATATCCTGACTAATAATCTATACCTGCTGATTATTTTCTTTGGCATGTTCTATTATTCCACTGATTATGTGTATTGAATCTATATGTTGTTTCTTGGAAGTGCAGTCCAGTTATATTCTGATAGGATTTTCTTTTTCCTGATACAACTAGCTAGTCTTTCAGTTATAATTTTTGTAAAAATTTTTCTTTCTACATTAAGTAAGGTGATAAGTCTTGTAATATTGAGTTTGTTTTCCCAATCCTTTGATTTTGGGATTAGATATATGATTTCTTTGCTCCACTCTGCTGGTGTATCACATTGTTGAATTATTTGATTGAAAATTTCCCAGACTTTTTCTTTGGCTTTTTTTTCCAGATGTTTATAGGTAATGTTGGGAATTTGATTGAGCCCAAATGCAGATTTGTTGCTTTACCCTTTTATTGCATTTTCGAGTTCTTCTTTCAAGATTTCTTTGATTGTAGCTTCATACCAATATAATTAAATGTTCCTTTTGGATTCATACTCCCTTTTTTATATTGGATAGTTATTCAATGGTTATGAATTTCTTGTAGGTATCTATTCCTGGAAATAAAGTCTTATATATCCTTTAATTGCTATTCATCTGTGATAATTTTGATCTCTTCTCCTTGCCAAATGATTTTATTCAAATGTATGATTTTTTGTGGTTTTTCCATAATACTATTGATTATGGCCTTTTTGTTGGTTTCCAGAAAGATTTGTTATTTGATTATTCTTTGTTTTATATTCTTAATTTGTCTGTAATTCATGATATATTTGGCTATGAGTTTATGTGCTTGTATTTTTTTTTGCAGAATTGAAATCCATTCTTGAATATATATTTCTAGTTTTTTTGTAATTGTTATAGTGAGCGTGTTGTATATGTCAGGAAATCTTACCTTTATGTTTTTAGATATTGTAGTTTCTCCAGCTTGATTAGTTATTCCTGTACTTGTTAATTGATTTTCCAGGTTATTTAGAAAATTTTGTAAGGAGATGATAGGTGGAGAGGGGCTTGCTTGTTCTGGATGGATTCTTTTTCTACAATGGTTTTTGATTTTACAGATATTTTTTTGACAGCTCTTAATATTATATTTCTGAAATGTTTTATTTCTTGTTTATTGAGGTATTTGACTGGGCAATTTTTGAGATTAGCTCTTTCATCATATTTGTGAAGGCTATTCATTGTTTGATACTAATATATTGTCAATTGAATCTATGATTATGCTTGTGTATCATGGCTTTTTTTTCTAAGTTTAAGTCTAGATTCCACATTTCAAGTTCTATGGTCATGCTCTGGTGATCACTTTTGATTAAGGGTTGTATTATATCTCATATGTATGCATTTCTTGATTGACATTTATCTGAAGGGCTGAGTTATATTTGATCTATTCTGCTTCTACTATCTTGCCCTTCCATGTAAACTCCTTTTTGATAGAATTGTATATGTATTAGCTATCTTCAAAACCTCTGTTGATCAAAAGTTCTATGTAGTATCCAGTTAGTTTGCTGATACGTGAGGTTTTGTAATTGTTGTATTTGTTCAGTATTGGATTGAAGGTTCTATTAATATTTATAATGACTATAATGTACCAGTTCTTCTTGCTAGCCTCTTTATCTATTATTGCAGAGTTCTTATTACTGGTATGTATTCTTTGGTTGTTGCTGCTGCAGCTAAGTATACTTCTATAATTTATATTTTTTGTTTATTTGAGAAAGCCATGTCTACTGCTATTAACCTTCCATCAAGTTTCTTGTATTTTGAGAATTCCTTTTATGATTTTATTGTGAATTATTATGTTAAGACCTTGTCCCAATGTTTGTGATTAGTGATAGGTTCAGATTGTATAATAGTTGAAGCATTTTCAAAATCTCAATGCCTAGTTTGTTTCATTGACTTCTGTTGTTACTACTATATTTCGGTCTTTACTATTAACAAGATTGAATCACATTTGTCTTTTGAAATTGTCAATGATTCCTCTAATGTTTTGTTTTTTAATTTTACATAGTTTTTAGATATGTTGTTCATTGTGATACTATGTATTGCCTTCCATTTGTGTTAAGATTGTATTTGGTTAATCTATTGTTTAGTTGAGATTCGTATTATTTAGATACATGGTTGGAGTGTTATTGGTTGTAACATGAGTGTTGTTATCATTTGTTATTGTATCCGTGAAATATGTTGTTGATTTAAAGTATGTAGTTGTGTCTTAATTTCTGGTTTGGTCTATTAAATTGTCTTCTTCTGGTTTACTGATACTATTTGAACTATTCATTATTGTTTATATATTGGAGATTGTTTGTTGTTTGGAACAAGGGTATTGATTGTAGAGAGGATATTACTCATGTTTTGATCTATCTTGTTGATTAAGTTATAGAGTTCTTGTTGTCTTTGTTGAATATCAGGTGTTGAGCTGATAGGAGAAGCCAAACTTGTCATATTGGAATAATTGATATTGTTGCTTATTATATATCTTCTTCCATTGTATTATTATTGTACTCCTCATATATTCAAGGTATGTAATTCTCTTATTTAGTTCTTCGATTGATGATTTAATTTCTTTGATGTTTTCTTGCATTTGTTGTAACATGTTACGGATTTTGTATAGTGGATCTCATTTCTGACTATTTTGTTCTTTAGTTTTTATTCTAGAATTAGTTGCTGCTGCTGCTACATAAAAACCTGGTCTTGGTCTCTGTGTTTGTGTTTCTCTATTTACTTTATTTCTAATATGTTGAGTGCTAGCAAGTTTAAACTTTTGGTAAAGTTTGTCAAATTTTGATACCTGGTCTTTGTTGTATGATGACTATTGTTTTCTTTTTTCCTTAATGGGGCATGTACCAGAAGATGATTGCTTTGATTATAGATAGAGCAGAGTTTAGTTTTCATTGGCTTGACTGTAATTATGGTTTCTCCCATAATAAATTATTGTCCTAAGCTTTCTTTGAGTTTGTTTTCAGATTCAAAGAATATGACTGCAAACTGTTTCTTGGTATATTTGATTCTGCATGAAATATAACATAACTTCGTTTGAAGTTGTTGACATACATTCTTTAAATCAAAGGCATTGGTATTTGATAGAAGATCGATAAGTTTTGCTATATATTGAAATCTCTCAGTCGTTTGTTATATGCATTGATATGTTGGTGGTTTGTCCATATCTAGCAAAGATTGTTATACTTCTATAAATTTTGTAATTAGGGAATGTCCCATACCCTGATACTGTTTTCCTTTTTTGACTCAGTTAGCATAATTAAGTTGTATGCCTCCTCTGCAACCTGTTTCTCATCAAATAAGGCAGTTATATGATCGATGTCCTCTTTTTTTTTCCTTGTGAATAATAAAGAGACTTTCTAGGCTACCTAAAACTTTTGTTAAGTATATGATCTTTTGACTAGTGGTGATATCAAGAATATTGCTTGTATGATTCCTGCTTTTAATCTTTCCTTGCTGTATCTTGTTATCCTGTCAAAAGGTAATCTTGATCATGGATAGTCTTTTCTTTAGTTACTTTGAACTTGCCATGTTTCTTTGGTATCTTCCTTGTTTGGATTTTGATCTGGTCCTTCCTTTTCTTTGTTATACATTTCTATATCAGAGTCATCAATTCTTGTTAATATATATATGTACTGTTGGATATCTGATATCTTCTCTCTAAGTACTTTCTTGAAATGTGATCTGTTTTTAGTGATAATTGTTTCTTCTTCTTGATTGCCTTATGTATGTAATACTGAGCTGTTTGTATCCTGCCCATTATAGTTTTGAGAGTTCTGGAGATGGCTGTGGGTTATTTAGTTACTTGTTTATTTGTGAAAAGGTTTTGGATAATTTTTGTTAATTTTTTAAGTTCTCTACTCTTGTTTAGGATTGTTGTCATTTTGCTGTGTGTATTGATATCTTTTTGGAGATTTTTTGTATTACTCTTGCCAAAAGGTTCTCATTGTGATTGGGTCTTGTACTAGTTTTGAAACTCTAAGGGTTCTATGAGAACTTATCTCTTCTGTGCACTTTTTTGTTTCTTAGAAAAAATTGCCTAAAAAAGAAATTTATAGAATTTTGAGATCTACAGGAAAGAGTTTTTTTTTTTTAATAGTAATAATTGACCATTAGTTTCACTGAACTATTAAGCTATGATATTTTAAACAGAACTCAAATATCCTTTGAAAATAATAGTTATATGTGATAAACTAGGATTACAGAATATTCTAGAGTACTTTATGCTAAGTTTGCTAATAGCAAAATTGACTATCAATATTCTAGAAGTGTTCTGGAAGATTTTTACTTTCAGGTGATCAAAAGAATCGTGATATGTTGATCTGAGGAACTGGGATTATCCTGGGTACTAGGGTGATTATATAGTGAAATTTTATAGTTCAACAATTCCCACAACTAATCTGTGAGTTCCACGAATTAAGCATCAATTAGGAATTGGAATTCAGTGACTATTATCTTATACAATATATATTTCTAAGGATTATTTTTCTTGTTCTCTTGATTTTTTCTATTTCTGTCTTTTCAAAGAGATAGTAGATCTTAATACAAGCTCATTTGTAATATTTTGATAATTGATTACACAAAAAACCATGTTGATGGTAATTTAACACTTGATCCAATAACTCTTCAAAAAAAATTTTTTTTTAAAAGGTGAAACAGGCTTACTTTATTAGTATAGTATTGAAACATATTACTTGATTCAGTAAAGCAATTTTATAGACACATTTTCTATATGCTCTATATTACTATGTTACTAAAAAGCTATTTGTTAGTAAAGAACCCCTTATGACATGTTGCTTCTATTGTAGAAAACTAACACACCTAGGCTTCGTTAGTGCCTTCCATTAGGATTTGAAAAAAATTTTGTATTCTCATAATTATCTTCTCCAACATGTCATTTTGAGTTTCATGTTGCTTTGCTGTTGTATCTCCTTTTGATGTCAAGTGTTGTTTTGTTTCCATTTTTATTTCTTGGCTTTGGTAGTTATACCCTGAGTTTTCTTCCACATTGTTATCCTGCAGCATCTATCAAGCCAGATATAATACGTTATGAATCTGATATATTTAATGATTGACCTAATTGTATCCACCAGCTTGTCTCAGCCTAGCCTGTCTACAATGAGATCATTCAGAGTCCTGCTGAGCCCTCCTCTAAAAATTAGCACTTTTAGTTGTTGTGTGTTCATTTGTATCTCTTGTGTAATATCTATGTATTTATTATCAGACCTACAGGTCTGTAGTGCAGTGGTTAGCACTCTGTAGGTCGTATCACAAGGTCACTAGATCAAATCCTCCAGGGGGCAACTCCTGATGCTGGTAGATCTACCCCATTGGTGTAACTGTAAACTAACTGATGCTTCCGAATATAGCTCTGATCACTGGTCAAATGGAATTTTCGATGTGATCATAGGACAGTCTATATAAAGATTATGATATGGTTGAATGTCCGAAATTGGGTAGAATTATCCTGACTCAACCATGTTACCAGAAAAAAACTGGTAATAAGAAGAATAGATATTGAACCGGTAGCATACCGCTGAAGTAAGGAATGATAAATCAACTGAAGAAAACCCCGGTTTCCTACCTTGGTGTTGAGGCATCTGTTCAAGAATTCAAGTATATGGCTATGTCGAGTTTCACTGACTTGACTATCGGGAGGCCTTGGTGGAAGGAGAAATCCACGGATTACTCCAAAGGACTAAGAAATCCGAAAAGTCCAGGATAAAGAAAATTCGATGGCCTGATAATCAGACTACTCTTAATATAAATAAAATTGTTCTGAAAAAAATTAAGAAGGAATCGCACATCTTTCCAAATAGGTAGTAGTTATATATAGAAGTAGAAT